AAAAACCCTATAAATAGATGTCTTGGCCTTCTTGGTCTCCCATCACTACAAACCTCTCTTTCTCTAAGCTCACTTTAAAACCCACAAATAATTAGAAAGAGAAAAAACCTAACGAAAGAAAAAAAAATGGAGAATATGGGAAGTAGAGTGATAGAGCCATTGATAGTGGGAAGAGTGGTAGGAGATGTTCTTGATTACTTCACTCCAACAATTAAAATGAATGTGAGTTACAACAAGAAGCAAGTGTCCAATGGCCATGAGCTTTTCCCTTCCTCTGTCTCCTCTAAGCCTAGGGTTGAGATCCATGGTGGTGATCTCAGATCCTTCTTCACCTTGGTATATACATTTAGTAATGTTATTAAAAATCATCAATAATATAGATTTTGAGGTAGTAAATATTGTGCTAACACATAAAAAAGTCTCACTCTTTTTTTCCTCTTACAAGTTTTCCATTTTCTCACTCGATGGAGAGAAAGAGAGGGACAGATCCAAAAAATCTTATAAATTATACTTTTTATTTGTAATATAAATATGATGATATTACTTAAGTTTCTATCATTCCTTTTTTTTTCTTGTCATTTTATTTAATTTTATTGATATGGTAAAAACTCAACTGAAAACAGGTGATGATAGACCCTGATGTTCCAGGTCCTAGTGACCCCTTTCTAAAAGAGCACCTGCATTGGTACGTTCAATTTTTTTGTCTTTTCATTTTGGGCCCATGTCTCATATGCATTCCATTTCAATAATTTATAAACCTAATAAAGTTTTCTTCTTCTCTTACTTATAAGTATAAAATATACATGAGTTGGTCAAAATCTCTTAACACCATTTTAAATATTTCAACAGGATAGTTACAAACATTCCCGGTACAACTGATGCTACATTTGGTAAGGGCTTCTCATGAATTATGTATTTTAAATACTTATATATAAACACACGTTTATATTAATTATAAATATTTGAATTGATATATAGGAAAAGAGGTGGTGAGCTATGAATTGCCAAGGCCAAGCATAGGGATACATAGGTTTGTGTTTGTTCTCTTCAAGCAGAAGCAAAGACGTGTTATCTTCCCCAATGTACCTTCGAGAGATAACTTCAACACTCGTAAATTTGCGGATGAGTATGATCTCGGTCTCCCTGTCGCTGCGGTGTTCTTTAACGCTCAGAGGGAAACCGCAGCCCGCAAACGCTAGTTACATCATTGTTCATCAAATGCAAAAATAATAATTATGCTAGTACTAGCATGAGCGAGTAAAATGTAACCATGTTTATTTATGTTCCAAATTTCAGTACTATGAATAAAGAGTTGATTAAAAAAAAACATAATGAGTTGAAACGAGAAAATTCTTATGTTTCAATATATGATTTATCGTATATAAACTAGTGTGTAGATTGTGGTATGATAAACATATTATTTTATTTGTCAACACCTACATAATCTCATAATAGACATAGAGAATTCAAATGTGTTAATTTTATTTATGGCTTGATAGGTCACAATCTAGTGAACTTTGTTATATGTTAAATGTGGGAACACAGAAAATTACAAATTATGAACGGATAGAAATGAATTTTATTTCTGGTCAAAGTGACAAGACTTTGAATGACCATCTAAAATAGGAACCCGGCTGGGCAAATTATCCGTAAA